TCCCCCCCCCCCTGAAATGACCTCTGGTTGGACCATATAAATCACGATATTGTTTTTTTGGCATCATTCGCCAAGTGGTTCCTGAGATGGAATGGGCACTTTATTTTCTTTGTCTATAAACTTCCATGATCTGACTGTGCTATTGGGATTGGTCATGCAGATGGCTTTCTTGTTGGCTGTAGTCCTAACAGTTTTGAATGCAGCAGTGAGATGCAGTTTTCTTGCTTAGAGCTCTTTATATTGGACTTACAGTATCAGACCAGTTCTATTATTATGGTGTCTCTGATATGTTTATTCTTTCTTCTCTGATGGAGAGGGTAGTGGAGAATTGGTATGAACTTGGCCCTTGTTCTGGGTTTGACCCTTTGCATTTGTTTTGACTGTTCTTTCTTGACAGTGTTATTGGAGAGCATACGCTGTAGGAGATGTGGAAAAAATGGCATTGGTGAAACTAGCAAAGTAAGTAGTGAATGGTGTTTTTACTGTTTCTAATTGTGTTGGACCTCAGGATAGTTCTCCAGTAATATCAGTGTGCATGCTGTTCCTCTGACTTTATGAATGCAGCCTCTTGGAAATGCTTTGGTGTGGCAAACGCAAGCATTTATGCATTGTTTTGACAGTGTAAAGTACTATTGGCCCTATGAATGGGGCTCATATCTAACAAGCTCCATGGGCTCAGTTCTGCCTTGTAACAAGCTGTAAAGTTCAGATCTGTAAAGTCCACAATGAAAGAGAGTAATAGGTAATTTCTGCTCTGATATGTGGGGGTATGTGTTCATATAACTAAGGATAACCTCCCCGCCTCCTTTCAGGCTGCATGAACAGATGAATGAATCAGAACAAGCAGCTCAGTGCTATATCAAATACATCCAAGATATCTATTCTTGTGGGGTGAGTCAGATCTTACATGATTTTAGGAATGAAAGAGACAAGGATATATGGTCCATGGGAGAAATTCTGTGTGAGCCCAACCTACCTAATTATTATTTCATGGGGGTTTTACTTGTGTTAGGTTCTCAAGTCTGGTGGCACCTGAAAAGCTAACAACTTTTATTTCAATATGAACTATGACCTTTGAGAGGTCATATCTTTAAGGTGCCATTGGATTTTATTTTACTACAACAAATTAACATGCTCCCCCTTTGCAGTCCCAGTATTTAACCATTTTGCTTGTATTAGGTCAACTGAAAATAATTTAGAAAAAAAGTTTTTTATTTTAATAAAAGGTTTTATGTGCCCCCCCCCCACCATTAAATAAGCTGTTAAACTGAGTTATTGGGTTCTGGACATATTTCTAATCCTTGTTATGTGCTTGTGATACTGTTCTCAGCTGAATTATGGTAAATTTGTCATAGTAGCCTCAGATTATCTGTGAGAACCTACCTTATTCTAGAGTCTGAATTCCACCTCTGGTACAGCCAAAACCTACATGCCTTTATCCTTCTCTAGGAGATAGTGGAGCACCTAGAAGTGAGCACTGCCTTCCGCTATCTGGCACAATACTACGTAAAGTGCAAACTGTGGGACGAAGCTTCAGCCTGTGCCCAGAAATGCTGCGCATTCAATGATGTGAGTTCTCACTGTGCCTTCAGCAGATGACTTTTTGGGGAAATTTTGTCCCCCTGATATGTCACCCAGTGTGATCTTTGTCACCATCTTATGATCATGCTCGACAATACAAAGCTTCTTGTGTATGGTTAGAACAGAAATTGCATGTGTCATTAGGACTGTTTGAGAGTAGCCTCAGGAAGTAGCAACTAAGATGCTGTGGAAAATAATATGAAAAGGACCTACCTGGTATGCCCCCTTAACCCAGGATACCATTTTGAGAAACTCTGGGTTCACATTTTAAAATTCCTTCAGAAACTATCA